AGAAAAGAGACAGCAGGCTGGTAGCTCAGTCAAGGCTTTGTAAGGCGGTCTCATAGATGTACTTTTGAGCCTTTAATGCATTTAACAGAGAATTTTATCCATCTCTCCAAGTGATGAATGTCAGGAAAGTGACTCAGGAGAAGTCAACTCAGAGCAGTCCAAGTGTCACTTTAGGGAGCACGTACTTAACAATTTACAACACACTGTGTCCTTTTCCAAAGACTGGAACAATTATAGCTGTCATCCAGTATCAAGCCACAGGTATAAATGGTAAAGGAGAGCGAACCACAGGCTCAGCGGGAACAGGATGTACATGGAGGAGCAAATGGAGCATTTCCTTTGGAAATGGAGCAATCACAGCCCATGGACCACGGAGAACCCTGGGGACACAGAGTAAAGGGAAAGGACTTCTCATTTTTATGGGTGCTGTCTTAGTCAGTGTTCCATTGCTGTGAAGAGACACCACGATCAAGGCACCCTTTATAAAGGGAAGTATTTAAATGGGGTCTTGGTTACAGCCTCTGAAGCTCATGGTGGGAAGTATTGTAACACAAAGGTAGACAGGGTGCTAGAGAGTGGCTGGGAGTTTAAATATCCTGATCCTCAGACATCAGAGAGAGAGAGAGAGAGAGAGAGAGAGAGAGAGAGACTGGGCCTGGTAAAGGCTTTTGAAATATCAAAGCCCATCCCCAAGACAAACCCCCTCCAACAAGGCCACACTTCCTAATGTAGCAAGCTTTTTTTTGTTTGGCCCACCAACCAGCTCCCAAATCCTGACATGGAGACTTCTTATTAGTTATGAATGCTCAGCTTTATATTAGCTATTATTTTAATGTTTCTCTTTATCTATGTTTTGCCTCTGGGATTTTTTTTACCTTTCTTCCTCCGTCCTTCCTTCCTTCCCTCCCTCCCTCCCTCCCTCTCTCCCTCCCTCCCTTCCTCCCTTCCTTTCCTCCTGTTTCCATGTCTGACTGGCAGCTGCCTGGGTCTGGCCCTGGGCATGCCCCTCTCTTTCTTCCTCTTTCTCCTCTCTCTCCTCTCTCTCAAGCCTAGATTTCTACTCTCACTTATTTTCTCTCTGCCTGTCAGCCAGGCCTATCCTTTCTCTGCCGAGCTATTGGCCATTCAGCTCTTTATTAGACCAATTAGGTGCCTTAGGCAGGCAAGGGGAAACAAATGTAGCACATCTTTACATAATTAAACAAATACACCACAAACAAATGTAGCAGATATTTACATCATTAACAAAGGCAGCATAAAATAATGTAACACATATTTGCCTAGTTAAAATAATATTCCACAACACCTAATCCTTCCAAATAGTTCACCAACTGGGTACTAAGGATGCAAGCATATGAGCCTATGAGGGCCGCTTCCATTCAAAGCACCACAGATGGGGTGCCTCCTTGATGAATGTGGCCAGCCCGGGAAGAATAGGGACCACCTGAGAACAGCCGATAAACCGGGAAATATACTACAGTCTCTTACAATGGTATACATGACGGAAGATTCTAGGAAAGCTCCCTGAAGTCGCATTGCCCTTGCTATGGGAGATCAGAACACAGTGCAGGCTGGGGTGTGCACCCAGAAAATTTGGCCATGTAAAGGATGAACTCCAAAAGGTGTGCAGGTTCTAGTCTGACCTGGCCTCTGGTTTGCTGGGCAAATTGGATTAAGGATAGGGTGAGTTGGAGGTGTTGGTTTGCCATTCCTTACAGCTGGAGGACCTAAAAGAAAGGGAGTGCACATTTGACATGTGGCAAAGCATCCCCTTCCTTGGCTCTGGGCCAAACCAACCAGCTGGTGCTGCCCCTAAGACGGCCATGGCAATGAAGCAGGTGCATGTAGAGCCCCATGGAAGTTCACCAGAGTGAAGAAGCTTAATTACTCAGAGAAACTGTGGAGAATTACCTAGAATTGTGCCTCCTGTCCATGCCACTGTACCCAACTATGATCTTTTAAGACAATGGAATTTTTGCGTGCTGTGCAGAACCTCACCTACCTCTTCCTTTGGTATCTCCTTAGCTGCTGGCGCTTGTTGGGATGGACGGTGGTGGTCTTCAGAGATCCTGTCACCATCTCTAAAAATATTCCACTATATAACATAAAAATGCTCTGATGTCAACTCCTAAGTGTTTTGCAGACGTAGAAAAGCATCTGAAAGGCATACAGGTGCACCTAACAGAGCAAGGCTGAGAAGCCAGTTCACAAAGGTACAAGGGCCAAGCATGCTGTGGCATTTTTCCATAATAATGCCTTTATGGTTGAGATAGGCATAAATGGCACTCATTAAAGTGATTGAGAAAATCCCACAGCACCCTGTGTCTGTCGATGTTAGTGCGATGGTTAAAGAATGGACAAAAGTATCCCGTGTGAGAAAATGAAAAGATGTGGATTCCTTCCAGACTAATGTGGTTTGATCACGCCAGACCGCCTGAAACAGAGTACCAGGTGATCCTACATTCAAAACAGCTGGACAAAGCAGCCCTACAGACTACAGCTAGGATTTCTGCATCTTCTTCGAATCCCCCAAGACAGCGCCCCTTACCAGCAGGAAGTAGTTTGGAAAGAACGACGCCCAAATTCCCAAATATTGTGTATAAATGTTTGTTTTCATTTAATTGGACTTTGTTATATAAAATTAAATATAAATAAAAATAAATTTTAAAAAAAAGTATCCCTAGTGGGAGGGGAAAGATGATATCAAAAGGCATAGGTGACCAGTGAAAAACCCCAAGCCCAGGGATGGGCTACCTCCCTACTAGATGTTAGCTGGGGAGGACCCCAAACCAGTACAGGCTGGTTTTGCTGCTGTTGATTGACCTGCCTGTGTAGAAGAAAGAATGGCAAGAGTCATCTGACTCACCTGAAATCTCAGCTACATCTCCTGCACCATCCTCCCTCCCAGCTCTAAGTAGTTCTGCAAAGCTCCGGGTCTGATGATAGAATACTCACATACACACAAGCACGCACGCACACACGTACACATGCATGCACGCACACACGCACACAGACACACATACATACATATATATATGCACACACACAGACACACACACACATATATATACATATATATACATATATATATGCACACACACACACACACACACACACACTGGAAGGTCCATTGAAGTTGGGGGTTATCTATGTAGCTGTCAGGAGGTCCTTATCTATGTTAGGGTGAGACTTTTTAGTAACGCAGGTTTTTTGTTGTTGTTGTTTTGTTTTGTTTTGTTTGAGTCACTCACATTCCTGTAAGCTGTCTCTCACCCATGCTCTGGAAGTAAGCTCATAATCTCACTGGTTGGCCAAGTTGAACTTTGATGGAGTTGTACTGTGGTCTGTTGCTGTCACCCTGTCTGGAGTGAGCAGACATTCACATTTCCCCCGGAAAAAGTCATACACTCTTTCAATTTGGCAAAACATGACAGTTGGAAATGAATATGGCACATGCGTATGCAATAGCTGTTCCCTCACTGTGGTAATTCTGCACCTCTGTGTCTAATGTATTAGCATTTTTTACCTTGGTTATTCTATGCTGTTACAGCTCAACTCAAATGTCTCCTCCTGCTGGCAAATCTTGTGCCACCCCAGTTTGATGACCCAAACCTTAATCAAAGTCCTTTCTTGAGCTGCCTTGCTGGCCTCTGACCTCATACTCCATTTTTATTGTCATTGGTCCACTGCCCACACTGCCTCTTGAGCTGCCCGGATGCACAGATGTCATTGTTCACCTTGTCTAGCATCTCACATAGGCTCTAGCACAGATTCCCAGGAGAGTTCAATGACTATCAAATGAATAAATATGTGGTCAGCAAAGGACCAAAGAATTGCATATTAGATGTGCCCTGTTCCATACATAATACTACCGGACAGCAGAAGAAAAGCAGGACAAGGGGATGGAAAAGAAGGAAGACTTTCTGACGGGATGGACATAGAAGCTATTGCATCAGGATGGCCAATGGCTTCACCATTGTTCGGGACAGAGACAATGAAGGAGGCAGCCTCAGATCAGAGACCCTCTCCTCTCCTCCTGGGTGGATGCTGTGATGACTACTTTGTAGCTGAAAGTAATGTCTGGCATTACAAGAGCACTGGACTTAATTTGTCTTAGTCTTAGTCATTTACTGGGTTCTAAACAGTAGACGCCCAGATTCAAAGGAAAAACGCAGCTGAGCCCTTACAGGAAGTCCTAGGTATACTCAGTCTTTGTGGTTTACCCTCAGAGCTTCCTGCCAGTGCTTACCCAGGCTTGCCAGGCCTAAGAAGCCAAGGAGAAGGGAGCAGACTGGGCCACGGCATGCTATCTATGCTGCAAAGCAGGTGCCTCTATCAGATGGGTTTCCAGCTTTAACTGAACACTTTTCTCCCTGCTTCTTCAAAGGTACATCTGCCATAACTGGTCTGCCCTGACCACAAGGGGCACCTGCAGCACTTAGGCATGGACCCAGAGGCCTCTTAGCCTGCCCTAAGCATGCTGCCTGGTAGGCTCCTGGTGTCGTCAGTATCCACAGATCTCCTTCTTTTCACTGATGATGTCACAAGATTATTGTGACCCCATTTGAATGACCAAGGAAGTGAAACTCCATGGGCACCTGAAGTGCATGCACAGAGGCATCTACACGGAATACCTGGCTCACTTTGCAGCTGACATGCAGGGGCCAGTTCTGATCATTCAGATGGGGATTCACATGCCTCCAGTAACCTGAGTGGTTCAGATTTGATGTCATTGCTACCCCAGCCAGGCTCTTTCCCATTCTGCAGCTTCCTCTCCCAAGACCCTGGACTCCTATCTAAAATAAGCATGCACCGCAGCAAATGAAAATTTTATTTTATCCCACTCAAGGGAAGCAGCCAGTGTCCATCAGGGTACCTGGGAAACTCAAGAGTCTCTGCCCAGGTAGGCTGCCTGTAGGACATGAGCCAGTGGCCATGTGGTGGCTCACATGGGCACAGAACCTGAGAGGAAGATAAAGCCTTTGTGCTGCTCACCCAGCATCCTTACATCCACATCTTTATTGCCTCTCTGTCCTGATGTGACAGCTCTAAGAAGAGGCCCCAGATTCCAGAGACTAGATCTCCTGGGCCCAGGACTGTGTTAGAAGGTACTACCCTAACTGTGCCCTGCAAGTCTTGGGAGGCATCTGGGTCCTGCTTGTATAAAACACTCAATGGAAGAGTGAGCCTGTGCACTGGGAGAGGAGAAACACACACAGCTTTTTATAGGAAATGACAGAGTCCACCTTTTTAATTAGGGGGTGGCAACGGAGCATCTTCTCCACTCCTACAGGGAGGTTTTGGTTGAACTCGAGGTCTGGGCAAGGGAGGGCCTTTCTGTTGGTGAGCCTGTGTGCTTGATGGAGGAGGTCTCTTCTTCTGCTGGTGATCACGGGTTCGGTGGCTCGGAGGCAAAGGACGAGGGCCAGGTGTCTGGAGATGATGGCCAGGTGGAGGGGGAGCTTGGGAAGCCACTGGATTCTGAGATGCTGCGGCTTGAGCTGGATGTGGCTTCGGGCCCCTTTCCACAGAGCTCATTCTGGGGGTTTTTATCTCTAACTCTTCATCTGTAATTGCAAGACAATGGCAATATATAAACAACATAATGTACAAGTGTATGTGTGTGTCTGTCTGTCTGTCTGTCTGCCTGTCTGTGTGTCTCTGTCTCTGTCTCTCTCTGTCTTTCTGGCCTACAACTTATCAGGGAGGCTAGATTGGCCTCTGCTCCCAGGACTACTGGCACCACCTTGTCTGTTTTGTATGGGTTCTCTAAGATTGAACTTTGGTCCTCATGCCTGCAAAGTAAGCACTCCAATGAGTGAGCCACCTCCCCCACCCCACAACGCAACCAAACCATTGAACATGTCTTATGTGATAGGCATCAAACCAGATGCTTCAGGAGATGTAAGGACGAAAGGGAAGTTACTCCCACTCTCTGCAAGTTCTGGGTGTCTTTTGGGGGGCAGGGGGAGAAATGCTGCCCGTGGGTACAGTGAACCCATGGCCCCCTCAGAACTCAGAAATATGAGGAAGGAGGACACCCGAGTGGAGAGCTTTGAGCCTAAGGCACAAAGTGCAGAGTGAGTACCTGATCCAGAGTTCTAGCTGGATGCTGCCTAGAGATAATCAGCAAGCTTGCTAAGCAACAAGCCACATGGTCAGAATCCACTGTAGCAGGTCTGAGTGGCCATGATGGACTTTAGTGACCATATTTCTTTTGCAGGGTCTTTAGGGTAGGTCCTGCCTTTCACTCACTTTGATTACCATACAATCCACACTCTGGAAGGAAATTGGGCACCCTCCAAGGGGCACTTGAGCCCTTAGAAATGGACTAGCTCCTCTGAAATTCATAAGCAAGAGCCATCCTCTTGGGCTTTGGTGGGAAAGATGGCTCCTCTCCTCATGCTTTGGGATCATCTGTTTTGTGAGGCTTCCATCCAGGAAGACACACCTGAGACTGTGTAGATCTTCTCAGACTGATTTTTTAAAACCAAACAGTAAATCTGTGGGAACACTCAGCTTCCAAAGGCCTGGAGGGCACTGCCGGTCTCCTTTAGGCCACATTTTTGTCATTCCAGTCCCTATGCTCAAGGCCATCCTCAAGGAGTCAGGGGGAGCTTCTCCATGGGGTATGTGAATGACTGTTTGCATCCTTACAAAGACATGTGACTTGAGAAGCATGTCTTGGCATCACCTGTGGGCTGAAGTTATTGACCCAAGGCGATGACCCTGGCTACTGTAAATGTATAGTGAGTGCAAAGACTCAAAGTCAAACAAGGTGGCTTTGACATCTGAGTGACCTGCATGCTCTAAGCACATACATAAAAAGAAACCCCAATGACAGAACATGTCCTTTGTGCCATCTTCAGTGCCCCCAAAGTGGTTGTGGCCATGCTTGGGAGGCTTTAGGTAAGACTTTGACCCTTCCTCTACAGCAGCAAGCTCCAGTGGCTGTCTGATGGCCCTTCTGCTAGGAGGCATGTTGTTCATTCCCTGCCTTCGCCACATTCCCTATGTGTTAGGCCCATTGTCAAGCTGCCGCAATGACTCAGACAGCCACACTGCCCTTAGCAAGTGACAGAACCAGGCTGCACATCTTATTGTCAGCCTCCACAAAGGTGCGGGACCACCAGAAGGTGCAAAGAACCTCGTGAGAAGTGGGAGGGTGAGAGGTGTGGCCGGACACTGAGCTGTTACACTGAGTTGGGCAGGGCAAGCTGGCTCCGTAGAATCTATACAATTGGCATTATCTATGCTACCCATCCGTTAAGAGCAGGACTATAGGGCCCTGCCACAGCCTCTCCAGCAAGGTCCACCACGGCATAAACATCTGCCCCAGCGACCTTTCATGTTCTCTTCCTTTCTTTCAAGACTGTCTCTTGCTGACTCAGCTCAGGTCATGGATGTGGGTGAGGAAAAGCAGGCCCATGAGTGTCAAATTTAAAGAGGGGTCATGTAACAACAAGATAAGACTGCCTTAAAATTCCAGTGCTGGGTTTTTTGCCTCAGCCTAGTCATGCTTTGGCCTACGGGCTGTAGTAGGGTCTGAGGTGATGAGCTAACCTGCTTCTTCATCTGTATAAATGCCTATCTTTAAGGCTGTGGAGTGGGACATGGTAGTGAATCTGAAACCCTGAATTCAGCTCCTGAAACAAGCCACTTTATCCATGTGAGCTACTGCCACCTTGCTCTTCCCAGACTGGTGGTGGCAGAGGTTGTCTTGTCTTGGGTGACACCTGAGGTCCACCTTGGAGGAATGTGTTTGATCCCTGGGCAGCGAGAATGGGTCTTGTAGGGAGGGGTGGAGACGGTATGAACAGAGATCGGGAAGCCACAAGGTTCAGGGCTCTGCAAGTCACTAAGCTCTACTGGATGGAGAATGCGTGAAGAGAGCCAGGGCCCAGGCTAGGGAAGTGGTGGGTAGGATGACAAGATGAGGGTGTTGGCCTGAAGGGAGGACTAGAGCAACACTGAGAAAAGAGGTGTGAAGAAGGAAGCCAAACCTAGAGGCCATGGGGGCAGGAGCCACCACTGTGGGGTGTGGGCAGACTCTGCCCTTAGGCTATACTAGAAGTCACCATGGGAGCATTACTGGGTTTACCCTAGGTTAAGACCTGTGTGAAACAGATTTCCCAGAACTCCAGGGACCTGACCACCCACTAACATGTCCAACTAGAGGCTGCCCTTACCCCAACATCTGCAGTGACAGCTGGACACAGTCCCTGACGCATTGTCCCATCATAGAGGGTCAGCCCCCTGTGTAGGATCAGCAACCAATCCTGCTTTGTAGACTGCAGGACGGGTCTGCACCAAGGAAACCATACTCCCAGCCTGAAAGCATCCCCACTCCCCACCCTGAACAGCCAATCAGGAAAGGCAAGACTAGCACCTGAATTTTGGCTTTCTATTTACTTGTAGTGCTGGGACTCGAACTCAGAGCCTCACATACACTGAACGAGTATTCCACTGCCAGGCCCCCACTCTGAATGTCTCCTGAGGAGATAGTTTTACCCATATTCCAAGAGCTTGGTCTTGAACACACCTTGAAGCCATCCAAGGCCAAGATATTTATTCACAGACATGGGGTTTGGGTGGGAATCTCTCCACCATCCTTTCAGTAAGGCAGCCTCCCCATGGTGGATTCCGGGGAGGTACACAGCCTGGCTGAAGCTTCTCAGTGCTCCTTTGCTGTCACCCCCGCGGACTGTCCTTCTGAAATCCACCTGAGCACGCAACAGAGCCAGCCGTAACCTCTGGTCTTGCCATTCTGAGTCTCCCCTTCACAGACTCAAGGAGAGATGCTCCCACGGGGATTTTGCTGTAGAAGTGGGGGTGCTCACCTTTTCTCCTCCTGTTCTTTTTCCTCTTGCAGACACAGAAAATAAGCAATGCTCCAAGGACCACTAAGAGGACACCTCCTGCACACGACCCCACGATGACATAGAAATTCAAATCTTTCTCTGCAAGAAGAGAAGATGGCTAAGGGAGAGGGTCTTGGGCAGAGCAGCCCTTTCACTGTCCAGGCCTCCTACATCAAACAAATGAAAGAGTTCCATGGGACTTTCCACTTCACAGAGGCTGAGCTTCCGGGGCCTGGAGTACTATATGAATCTGCAAGGTCTGAGGAACACAGCCTGCCCACCTCACCCATCCCTCACTGGAGAGCATCCAAGCTCTAAGAGGGAGGATGAGTTACTGACTGAGGCCTCACAAGACTTTCCCCCAAGTCAAGCATCCCCCAATCTCAGTGTTCAGCTTTTCTTCCTCCCAGACTCTCTGGGCCCAGGAAAGCAGCCTAGCTACTCAGTGGTTAGCAGTGGCAACATGTGGTTCTGATTTCTTCACCGCCAAAACAGTGAAGAAGAACAGAGAGGAAAACAGGGCAATGGGCTTAGTTTAACTCTTCCAAGTAAGAGCTGTGTGGCCTTTGAGAAGATGCTCCACCTCTCTGAGTCTGTTTGCTTCTTTGTATAATGGAAACGATGTGACTTACATCACAGAGTAGCTGTCGGAAGTCAGATCAGATAATGGATGGAAAAGTGCTTTGTAAACTGTAAAACAACACCTAGATGAGGGCTTGCTCTTGCTCTGCCCTGCACTGCTGTTTCTGGTAGCTGTTTCCCAGGAGGGGGACTGAGCCATCTGGCCTTAGTGAGTCAATAGCAGTTAGAGAGAGCAGCTGGAGCAGGCCCTCAGAGGACTGTCCTGTGGGGAGAGTGAGCCTGGAGTTGAGCCCAGCCTTGCAGAAGCAAGTCTCCAGCTGGCCTGGCAAGTGAATGTTAACAACCAGGGGTGAGGACTGGGCAAGCTGGACCAACCAAGCAGGGCAGAGCTTCACCCGTGCTGTTGGTGCTGTTGGTGCTGTTGGTGCAGGTCATCTCCCTCCCTCCAGTCCCCCTTTCCCCACTTGCTGAGAACCTCTCTGGACACTGCTGTAGGGGCATCCCTCAGCATCCCTGAAGCTGCTTCAAGGATGGATGCAGGGATATTCAGGCCCTGTTGCCTTGCAGAGGACCTGGGATGCCAGAGTCAGTCTCTCTGGCTGTGAGGTTCCCAGGTGTGAGCAGAGTGGGCAGGGCATCCTGTCCAAGCTGAACCTCCCACACATCCTCCCTTTGGTTCCTCAGGCAGGGCATCCACCCCGTCTCCCAGACACTCTTGGGAAGCAGGCTTGCCTTCCACAAGTCTGGTTTCAAGTTTACCCAGTGCGGCTCCGCGTGAGGTCATCAGTAGCTATGGTTTTGTCATAGGTCCCTCAGTGTCTCAGTCCAACTATCTTTCCCTCCCACGCTTTCTCTTGGAGACACTGTGCCTGGGCCAGGCTGCTTCCTCCTCTTAGAAATTTGAGTATATGGCCAGTTAGGCTCCTGCCTGCTTTGGCCTTTAGAATGGGAGGGATACTCAGGGTCTTCAAGGGCATCCCCATATTTCCATTTATATTCCTCTGTCTCCTTGCTGGCCATTTCCTGGGACAGCTTCAGCTTCTACACTGAACAACAGATTAAGGGACCCAAATCTTGTGTCCTCTCCTTCTAGGACTCTCCCTCATTGATAAACACCTATTTTGATTCCGAAGGGATCTAGTTACAATAAATATGGAGCACGAGGTTGCTAGGTAAAATAAAAGACAGCCTGTTCAATTTGAATGTCATATAGACAACGAATACTTTTTTAGGATCAATATATAGAACTGGTTTTTGTTGGTTCCCTGACTTAAGCCTCATATCTCTAAGGCAGGGCCTCCAGAAAAAAGAAAAGGTCTTGGAGTCCCCATGCCTTTGTGATGGGGAAATGGAAGGTGGGGGCAGGGAGGAGGAAGAGAGAGACTGCCCATGAACCTGAGGGGTGAGGAAATGATTGTCATCTGAGTCTGTGGCTGGCAGACTCTCCTGCCTTCAGATGTCTCACTGCTGTGTGAAGTAAGACAAGTGTGAACAGCATTCATGCCAAGGTGGTCAGATGTGCTGCGAAAGCCCTCCTGAGATCACACTGCCAAGGTGGTCACTGTTCTTTGGGACGATGACTCTTGCCCTCAACTTATCCTGAGATCACACTGCCCTCAACTTATTCTGACACAGCTGCCATGTTGTGAGGCAGTGCAAAGGCCCATGTGAGAGAGCCAGGAATGGGTCCCCGGACTTCTCACCCAATACCTTGATTCTAGGGTTGACTTTTCTCTGTGGACCATGAGATGGAGCCCACAGAGGGGAGGACGCTCTGTCAGGGTCGCACCAACTAAAGTCAGATCAACTGAAAGCTAACATTTAGACCCCTGGCTTCCAGAGTGGAACTAATGCACTGGCTGCCCCTGTGCACTTGGGCCACCCTGACCTCCGCTGGCTCCGTACCTGAACAGCTGACCATGGCTGTGACGGACTCCTCGCTGACCTTGTTTTTTGCATTGCACTTGAACGGCGCATTCAGGTTGGTCCATGTATGACTTATGATCTTCTGATGGAGGCTGACGAGATGCTTCTTTCCTCGATACAGCTTTAGTTCGAGGTCTGTTCCTTTCTCAACCTCACAGGTCAGAGTTGTGTTGCTGCACTCCCAGTAGATCTCTGGCTTTGAGACCCTCTCTAAAAGAAAGATCCCATTTTTACTAGGCAATTTCTGGATACTTTTGTTTTAAAGACTGGATTTCACTCTGTAGACTAGTCTGGCTTAGAAGTCTTCTTCCTTCTGCCTCTGCCTCCCAACTACTGGGACTGAAGGTGTGTGCCGACACCGCCTGGCTTAAGGCAGCATCTTAACATAGCTCAGCCTGGTCTCAAACTCACTAGGTAGCTGAGGAGGAACTTCTGATTCTCTCCTTTCCACCTGCCAAGTGCTGGGGTTATTGACATATGACATCTATGTGCTGCTGGGGAAGGAAGCATTCTACCAACTAAGTTACATTATAGTGAAATTCTCTTGAAAATTATTTTATTTAACTGGCATAGAACATCTTGAACAAAATCATTTCTGGTTAAGTTAAGGGGCAGAGGATATGATTTTAAAAAGGCACCACAACTGATGTGTATATACTATTTGTGCTCTCAACTGTTTTCACAAGCATGACGTCATTTGGTTTGAACAGCAAGGCTCATGTTTGTCTTCCCTTTTGCAGATGACATGTCCAAAGTTCAAGGCCTAGCATTACAGTATCCATTAAATATGACAAGGCAGGTCTGCAGAGATGGCTCGGTGGCTATAAGAGCACTTGATGCTCTTCCAGAAGGCCTGGGTTGGGTTCCCAGAATCCTTGATGGACAGCTCATGATCACCTAGTTTCAGGCAATCTGACCCTCTCCTGGCCTCCGTGGGCACCTGCACACATGTGGTAAACACACACACACATACATGCACATGTGGGCATGCAAATAAAATTAATTTCAAAAAATATGGGAGGACAGAACAAGAACCCTGCAAAGGATTTCCAAGTCCAGGAGAGTAGGTAAGGTCAACCAGGAGCCCCATTTTGGATGAATGGCTATGTGAGAGGCCCATGGCCTGATCTACTCACTGCCCCAGGGCATCCCAGGAACAGAGGGCCAGGACAGCAGGGGGTTATCCAAGAAGCCAAAGCTTATCAGAAGAAGAGAGCCAGGGAGACCTCTGCCATTCCGGGGCTCCAAGGCTCTGAGTTAGTCTCTGGCTTTGCGAGGCCTCAACTTTAAGAATCAGGAAAAGTAGTCCCTACCTGTCTCACACCAGACGACCTGTGGCCAAGCCCTGGACGTGTCAGCAGAAGTGCTTCTCCCAACCACAATGCAAACTCCTTGCCCCTCCTGGTTAACACAATACTACATAAAGGCTACATCCCAGGGGGACATTCCCTAGCTTTGGTGTTAGTGAGGTCAGACCCAGTGCCCAACTCCCCACTTTCCACCTGAAGACCGACTTCTCTCTTCATGCCTTACATTTTCCCAGACCTTCCATCTCCTCCCCCTCTCAGTGGCCTCCCTTTATTACAAAGGGCAATGGTGAACTTTTCCGATTTCCTCTCTCTCTTCATCTTTCAGACCACAGTGTCTTCCCCATGGGCCTCCCCACTTTAATTCCATTTCCGCCCCAACACACCAGCATTCAGAACTTGCCATCCCAAGACTCTGTGTATCTCAGAATAAAGAAACAATGGAATGATTAGCACCCAGCAGAGCAGGGTATAGTCTTGGAGCTGTCTACCTCTGTAGAATGAAAAAAACACCCTCCTAGTAACATCCAATTATTTCAAGAAACACTGATCAGGTTTAAAAAGGCAATTGTAGATCGCCTACAATTCTGCTACTCATGGTCATTAACATTTTGATGTATGTCTTTATCACATATTTCCTTTGCATAAATTCATAATATAAGGTTTTAAATTAAAATTGGATTATGTACCTGGGGGGGGGCAGGGAACAGTATTGAGGGTTGAACCCAGGGCCTCGGCATTTAGGCAAGAACTCTACTACTTTACTACATTCCCAGCCCCTGAGACACTTTATAAGCCGCCTTCTATCCTTGTATCATTACATTCCCTTTTCACAGGCTTCAGTGAATGTACGCCTCCCCCATCTTTGTAACTGATGCTCCTAATTAAGCTGATAAAGCTTTAGCTTTTAAACATGCACTAGCATTTTACTCGTGCAAACACAGTGACGAGCAACCTTATTTGTAAAATAGCTTTCTGAAGGTGGCATGAATGGCTGGCTGAAGGCTATTCCTAGATATGGCTTCTTTTTCGTTGTTATTTGTTTCTGGGTTTTTTTTTTTTTTTTTTTTTTTTTTTTTTTTTTTGGTTTTGTTTTATTTGTTTTCCAAGACAGGGTTTCTTTGTGAAGCTTTGGCTGTCCTGGAACTCACTCTGTAGACCAAAGTGGACTTGAACTCCTAGAGATCTGCCTGCTTCTACCTCCAGAGTGCTAGCATTGTCTGCTACCACTGCCCGGCTGGATATGGCTTCTTAATCTTGGGCTTCTAAGATCCTTTCTTTCTCCACAGGTGTCTGGGGCCCTGCACTGTCCCTTCAGCAAGGTGCCTCATCGGGGAAGGTAGACTCTAAGAGCATATTGAAACAAAGTGGAGGGGGCCCTCAGCACTGAGGAGATAGGTGCGGTGTCCCAGGACTCCAGGGCAAGTTCACACCCCTTGTTGAATATTACAGGCCTCATAAGCACCCCTAAGAGAAAAATCAGAAATTTTCCAAAATGCAAAACTTTTTGAGCCACAATGCAATACCACAAGTGGAAAATCCCACACCATGATGCCTTGTTTCCTGCCCAATGCTATTTAAAATACTGTGTTAAATTACCTTAAACAGGACATATGAAGCATAGATATAAGCATAGATGAATGTCATGTTTCCATTTGGGTCCGCTCTCCAAGATATAGCACATATATATGCAAATACTTCAAAGTCTTCAAAAAGCTCCAAATCCTAAACATTGCTAATCACAAACACATCACGTAAGTGATACATAACCTGCACTGGGTAATCAGGTTCAGGGCCAAGAACCTGATTACCAGTTTCCAATTCTGTGTAATATATAATGATGACAGGGCCACAAGTTGAGTCAAGATACCATGTGGCATTGTCATTTGCATACAATAATGAAGTCAGTGTTTTTAGTCTAAAGGGTCTGGGTTTCCTTTGGGGGTAAAGAAAATGTTGCCCACAGTGATAACCACATTAACTCGATGACTATGCAGAAAGCTGTTGAACTGTACATAGTAAATGGGAAAACTGTGGGGCATGTGAATCATACAGCAACAAATGAGCTTGTTTGGCAGAGAACGTTGCCCTACTTGTCAAGGAAGCCCCAGGTTAGCATCCTGATTTTGCTCCTGTCAAATAGTGAGAACATGGCCAAGTCACTTCTAACTGGATCTCTGTTTCCTTATAGATGGATAGAAGCTTGTAATTATAAGTTCTCAAGATTACGGGAGCTTTAAATAAAACCAGGTTAACAAGCTCCTGACTTCTTCCCAGTAGTTATTATCACCCCTAAAATAAAGGTGACCCTGTGAGAGCACATACATAGGCTCAATATCAAACAGGACCCTAGGGCTCTGTTTGCCTGCAGTAATGACTTTGGCCATTCTCAGTGCCCAAGACAGGTGGCCTTTCTCATTCCTACCCCATTTCTGGAAAGTTCTGTCTAGACAAGGTTACAGGATTAGGGTCTGGAAGGGAGTCATGTGTAGCATAGAGAAGCTGACAGTAGGTCCCGGAGAGTGGCTGGTGCTAGGCACAAGGTGAGAGGGACACCACAGGTAGGATGAGGGGACCATTTCCCTGGTGACATTTCCTGTGTGAAGCCCAGAATGTTTGTATGCTCCCTGAATGGCTGATCTATGCTGTGCGGGCATTCTCAACTTCCTCTGCAGGCAGAAGGCGGGCGTTCTCACCTAACCTATTATTGCTAGGAGATGCCACCTGTCCCTGGGCTTTCAACTTCAGTGACATTGGATGCCTTTCTCTTCCTGCTCACTCCCGAAAGTTTCCTTGATTTTCTCCCCACACTCACAGCCTGCATGTTTGCATCTCTCATCTCCAGTCACCCATTAGACCAAACCAGTGGTTACAAATGACAATGGTTTACTGGAAGCACTGGGGAACTACAGACTCCATGCCAGAAGCCTGGGCATCGCTAACTTCTTACAGCTTTCTTGCTGTTTTCTTGTTTATTTTTCAACAGGCCTGCAACTCACTCTGTAGACCTGGCTGGCCTCCAACTCACAGAGATCCACCTGCCTTTGTCTCCTGAGTGCTGGGTATGCTCCATGACCACCAGGCTCTTGCTGGTTTTTTCATGGGACCCAGATTAATACCACCAACTGTCCTCCTTGGCCTCACTTGGAATTACAATAGAGGCTTTCCAGCTAGTCTTCCCACATCTACCTTCAGTGTCCTGCCCCCTCTCCACACGCAGAGGCAAAGCCTCACAGTTTAGTTCAAGTACCCAGGAAATCACCATCCACCGTTACTGTGATGATGTTGAGAAGACTAAAAAGAGAGTTGGTCTTTGGCTCAGCATCTCCAGGCCTTTCCTGCCCTCTCATTCCTTCAGAGCATCCTGGCTTGATCTTGGCTCTCCAGACAAGAGATTCACAGCTCCCTGGGCACCTTCTGCTTTCTGACAACCTGTCTTGCTACTCCTTCATCAGCCACCATCTGCTAGCCTGTCCTCTTTCTGACCAATGCCAGCTCATAGCCCCACAGCCACCTCAAAGAGAGAATGAAAGATAGATAGGCTTGAGAGCCACCCGCACCCACTGGAGTCTTCATTGTGGGTGGCAGAGGAGATGTTGAGTGGAAAGTTGCAAAAACACTGCTTCCCAGTTCGCTACATAGTACCTGAAGTAAAGGAGAAACTTCAGAGAAGGAGGGCTCACCTAGAATCCTCAAGTGGAATGTTTTCTGCAGCTTGCTACTGCCGTTGGCCCCATACACTATCACATTATAAGTGCCGTTGTCGTCTCTCTTCAGTTTCTTTATTTGCAAGGTTTCGTTCGTTAAGATCTCAAATGCTTCTGACAGCAGAAAAGGTTCCATCTCCTTTTTGAACTTTGCCACCAGCGTTCGCCCCTTTTCCCATCGGACTTCATCAGTGTCAGTCACTTGAAAGTTAGGGATGGTCAGGTTGATGTCATGACCCAAGGCACCCCAGATAATACTACTGTCTCCGGAGACAGCCCCTGTAAAAAGCAAGATGGTTGCTGAGGTCTTGGGACTACCAAGAATCTCCCTCTTTGACTCTCATGCTCATTCTAGGGTCTCCAGAGTTAACTCCAGAGAAGCTCCACACGCTGGCTTGCTTACCTTTGCTGGAAATGCTGAAAAGCAGAAGGAAGCTAGCTAGAAATTCACATCTCATCTTTAGACTCTGTTTCCCAGCGGTGATTCTGAGTTCTTCTTTCTAACGGGATGGCAGTAAGACTGGCAGAAACCACACCCAGCAACCCGAACCACGTGCCTCTCGGGCTTGCTGTTAACAGTAGGGAAGAAAACATGCCCAGCCCCTCAGCCCGATAGGTGGCCTTCCTTTGCCATAGCAGGTGTTCTATGAGCCTCTGTGTCAGCTCACATTTTAATCTTTACAAAACTGTTGAGGCTGGTGGTTTAAGCACCCCATTGAAGAGAATTGCGGAGAGGTCAGTCGCCCGAGCTACTCGTTTGTAAAGGAGGACTCAGACTCACAGACACTCACTCAAACTAGCCGTCCACTCAGCTGTGCTGCCTCCAACAGGACCAAGTAGACTGGTAAATGTTCATAAGGGAATGGAATTCAACTATGTATCCTATGAGGAGAAATGCTAGAAAACGTACGCATGTGAAATGGTTAAAATGGATTTTTCCCTCTTCCTTGAAAATATTTTTAGTATTCTACAGGTGTTCCTGTAGGGGCTTGGACAGATGGCTGAGCAGTTGCGAGCACTGGCTGCTCTTCAGAGGACCCCGATGTCATTCCCAGCATCTACATGGCGGCTCATAACCATGTAGCTCCAATTCCAGGGGCTATGACACCCTTTTCTGCCCTTTGTCACTGCATGCGGGTGTCATACATGCATATATGTAAACAAGCACACATACAAAATATAAATAAATATTGGGAGGCTGAAGAAATGACTCAGTGACTTAAGAACAATTGCAGAAAACCTGAGTTTCACCCCTAACACATACAAGACAGCTTACAAACCTCTGCAACTCCAGTTCAGGAAGTCTGACGCCCTCTTCTGGCCTCCACAGCACCAGGCAGGCAAGTGGTGCACAAACACACATACAGACAAAACACTCAAACACATAAAACAACTATAAAGAAATGTTAAAAAAAAAAATGTTTTTTAAAACGTTGTTTAGGCTAGAAAAAGAAGCCAATCTCCTCCACTATAAAAGCTGTCTATCTACATCTTATATTTAGCATACATTTCATGATTCTCTTGGAATCGCAATTAAGAAAAAAAACTGGTTTCAAAACAGTTTTTCAAAAAACAGACTATAAAATAATGTTTATTTTGTTAGGGTATTTTTCCTACGTGTATGTATGTATGCCATGCGTACTGTGTTGATTTGAATGAGAACAGCCCCAGGAGGTTCTTATATTTGAATGTTTGGTCATCCTCTGGGAAGGAAGTGTTTGGGAAGGATCGGGAGGTGTGGCCTTGTAGGAGGGTCCTCACACTGGGGATGGACTTAGAGGTCTTAAAAGCCCATGCACTTCTGTTAGTTCTCACTGTCTCCTACTATAAATAGGAACCTCGGCTCTCAGCTACTGCTCCAGCTCTATGCCTTCCTGCCTCCTGCCATGCTCCCTGCCATGATGGTCATGGACACTAACTCTCTGGAACTGTAAGACCCCAATAAATTCTTTCTTCCATAAGATTCCTTGATCATGGTGCTTTGTCATAGCTGTTGAAAGTAACTAAGACATGCATGCAGTGCCTAAAAGGCTAGAAGAGGGCATAGGAGCTCTTGGAATGGAAGTTATAGATGATTGTGAGCTGCCATATGGATGCTGAGACTAAAACTCAGGTCCTCTGGAAGAAAAGCCAGTGCTCCTAAACACTGAGCTGTCTCTCTTACCCTAAGACTATGAAATAATAGTGAACAACTGAATTAAAAAAAATATCTAGGGTGATTAACACTATAGATTGTCAAGGACATAGCATGACCAGGACAAACAGAACAGAGAGAAAGAAAACGTTTGTTCTCAGTGGGACAGTCAGTGGTGCAGGGACTAGTGTCCCTGAAAAATAGACACTTGGGAAGGTCATATGTGCAAGAGATACGGTGAATATCCAGTGTTTTGATTCTTTGGAATACAGTGAGAAAAGATCTTCAAAGTCATGATTTTCCATGTCAGGTCCTTAGAACATCCACAACAATATTACAATTGAATTAAATAGCTTACAAGTGAATTAAAACATCAATTCCAAGGAAAACTCCAATTGTAATACTACTTAACAGAAATCATACAAAGAATTTCTATTCTTGAGTATAGAAAAATCTGCACATGTGCATACACACACACACACACATTGCATAATTCAGAAATAGTAAAGATGGGCATTATTGGCCACATAAAAATGTAGAATCTGTGCATATACAAAGGGTTCATGAAAAATGCGATATGTGAGAATTGTTAGTATCTAAAATGGAAATATCATTTCTTGTTTCCCTTTTAGGATGCTGAGGATGGAGCTTTGAACATGTCAGGCAGGCACTCAAACACTGAGATACATCCCCAGTCAATGTACAATCACTAATAAAAACATTTTAAAATAAAAATTATTGATTTACCAAAGACATAGTGTATAGTGTGTGTGTGTGTGTGTGTGTGTGTGTGTGTTGTGTGTGTGTGTGTGTGTGTGTGTGTGTGTTGGGAGGAAGAATTGAACCAGGACCTTATATATGTTAGCCAAGTGCCTGACATTGAGCCATCCCCTCAGCCCTACAGAAGAAACATCAAACATATAAAAAGAGATTAAACACACACACACACACACACCTTAGCCATAATATGCCATCTTACACCATCAGGATGACAAAGTCATAAGAGATGATAAGATGATAACTGACATTATCAACATTATTGTAAAGATAAATATGGTCCTTCGCAAATACTGCAAAGAATATAAATGAATAGGTCTTAGAAGACAGAATTTAGAAACTTCAACCAATGTTTTTTTAAAAAAATGTTTAGACCTAGTAATTTCAAGTTGAGAAGATTTGTGCACAAAAGATTGCACAAACATGCAAAAAATTCTATTGAGAATGCATGCTGAAGCATTTTTATGATGAAAATGACAAAAAACTAAAATGATAGTATATAAGAGCACCCTCAATCAGTTCCCAGCATCCACACTGGGTAGCTTACCACCTCCTGTAACTCCAGCTCTAGGGAACCCAATGTCCTCATCAGGCCTCCAAAGGTATCTGTGCTCACAGGATACACACATGTATGCAGGCGCCTACACACACACACACACACACACACACACACACACACACACACACACACACACACCACCACCACCACCAACTTTAATGAATTTGAGACACGTTCTCACTGTGTAATCCTGACTAGCCTGGAACTCACTCTGTACACCAGGTTGGCCTTTAATCAGAGATCTGACTGCCTCTGCCTGCTGATTGCTGGAAGAACAGTGTGTATTGCTGTGCTTCACAGTCTAATGACTTTGTATCTATCATCAATACACCATGCAGAGCTATGTTACAATGTATGCATTGAAAGCTCTGAAAGGGTTCATGCTGGGCTGTGACAAAGCACAGGACTTACATTCAGAGGAGCAACTGAAAACTCTCTTTTTACTATGTCAATTTCTATGATGTTTATAATTTTGATAACTATTGTGGTTTAATAAGGATCAGGAGAAACAAATAGGCTGAATAGATGTTTATTCAGGGAGAAATGACTTACAACATAGACAGATGAACACCAGCAGGTTCCTGGTCCCAAGGATGCCTCTGGATGCTCTTCTGTCCCCATGCTGCAAGCAAGAGAGGGCTCTGGGCTCCTCATCAGACCTAGTTCCCCCAGGTAACGTCTGCCCCTGTCCCCACCCCCAATGGGAGTGTTCAGTGCCACACATGTGGACAAAGTGAGTATCTCACTACAGATAACTAATACATTATTTACATTTTTAAAATTTGTATTAGTGTGTGTCCATGCATATATGCCATGAGCATACTTGTGGATGTCAGAAAACAATCTGATCTGGTTCCCTACTTCCACCAGGTGGGTACTGGGGATTGAATTCAGATCTTCAGGGTTAGTGGCAAGCTCTTCCTCCTGTTGAGCCATCTCCCCAACCCAGGTTACACTGCTTTTATAATGAAAACTTTGTTTACATAAAGGATGTCTAAGACTTCCCTTTCTGAGAAACAATTAGCACGTACCATTTCTTCTGCTAAGTTCTACGTCACTGGCCACCTGGCCACCAGCCACACAGAGCTATCATGTAATCTGTGCTTCAAGCCAATTGCCCCCTCTTCCTCTCGCTTTCGTGTAGTTTCCCACACTGCTTGCTGCTCTCAGGGAGCGGTGTTCTACTCCCCTGATTGCAAGCTTACCTAACTGCTCTTCCCACATCCGCTTCAGTTCTGAATGATGAGCCAGCTTCAAAGGAGGCTCATGAGGAAGGGGGCTGGACAGCTCTGATGCTGGACCATGAGGAAGGAGGCTGGACAGCTCTGACTCTGTACAATGTAGAAGCTTTCTAGAGAAAAATCTTATTTTTAAGAATTGAAAGGCTATATAATAAAAGAGGCAAATTACTGACAAGGTACATGACAAAAGTTAACACCCTTAAAATTAATTTTTTAATGGAAATTAGGAAAAAATAGACAGCTGTAAAGGAATGACTCACAAAGGAAGAGATCCAATTAAATGGCAAATCTATGGAAAGGTAGTTAACTCGCTAACAAAGAAACATCCGGTTTAATGGAGATACATTATTCATTTAGAAAATAAAAAAAGAGCTAGTTTCATAGCTCAGAGGCTGGAGAGACGGCTCAGGGGATAAGAACTCTAGCTGCTCTTCCAGAGGTCCTGGGTTGGATTCCAGCACGTACATGGAGACGCAATTTGTAACTCCAGTTCCAGGTAATCTAACACCCTCATCAGGCACTGCACATGGTACACAGGCCACGCAGGCAAAACACACATACACATAAAATAAAAACAACAAAACTCAAAGTGTGTGTGGGGGGGGCTGCCTGTGCAAAGAAGAACCCAGTTATAAGCCACCCAATCGGCAAGCAGGGCAGAACCTGGCTTCATATGCTACCTTAGTTTAACCAAAGGATCTCATATGGGGAGAGCCAGCCCTGAGGTGACCAGAACAATACAGGAGGTGGTGTCTTTGTGGACTGAGGTCAATCCAGAAGAGTTCAGAGTTCAGAGTCCT